TAACTGATATTTACCAGGATGCTGATTTTAGTTAGGCTTAAAAGAAAATGTACTTACCCGCCCTAAAGCCTCCGCTGCTTCCTGGTCTCTGGTCCTCTAAACGGGACCATAATTTACTAAATGAACATCATGCTGTGTTGAAGAAGACTTGAAACTAGCGACTGAGACCAGAAACTCATCAGGAAAGTGTTTACTGAGGGAATAAATCAGCTGACAAGTAGAAACATTTTCAGTGGTGGAAAGTTATTGTATTTTTTTCCGGTATTTTTATTTGTTGCGACTTTTTACTTTCACTTCGCTACATTTCAGAGCCAAATATTGACATTTTCCTCCGTTACATTCTGCACGAGACCTCGTTACACTGTTGTTATTAGCTGCCTATGCGGCGCACCTGAGTGGAGCAGCGCTGAAAAACAAATGTAAACTGATAAAACCGACTCGGCGCGAATCAATGTTGTGCTGAGCTGGACGGCCCCACCTCACTTTCCTGTCAAAGGTGAATGCTAATGTTTCCAACTTTGAGAGGATGAAGAGTGACTATCCTTCTAGGCACAAGAGGAAAAAAAACTCAGTGAGAGTGAAGTGCGGGAACAGCAGTCAGGTAGACTTGTTCTCTTCAAGTCTGATGTAGATCACGCTTAGCCTAATGTGCAGCTGCAGTGAATCTCTCCGTCTGTCCGTCCTGCTAACCAGCTGAGCAGTGCAGCTGTGCATAAAAGCGTCTGCCAAATAAGTAAATGTCTGTGTCTTGGTTGCTTACCAGACTGTGATGGGGATGAAAGCTAAACGCGCCTCATATAACGCTCGCCAAGCGGCGACTCCGACACGCCCTCAGAAACAGCGAGCTGCAGCACACAGCTCTCCTCTCCCTTCCAAACACTAGCTGCCCTCCAGGCAGTCAGTGGACAGAAAGTTGTTCCTGTGATGTAGAGACAGAGCTCAGTTAAAACTTTATGGATACAGATTAATAACTCACCGCTCTGAAACTCTCGCTCCAGTCCGTGTTGCCGAGCCGGTCGGCAACACGTACGGCTGAACCCGAGCCGTTTACCGGCTTCTCGCTGACCCGCCCTTCTCTGCTTCTGATTGGCTAGTAGTCCTTAACTAGGAACTGAGCATGTGCAACTCCCAACAAAGATCATGTAGAGACCAGATGTATCACTCCATAGCTAAAACGAAGCCTTCAACACAGGGTGGAAAGAGGAGCTGCAGCAATGTGCAGTAGGACAAACATATAACCATGTAAACCTGCTCTGGTACAAACTCTGAATAAGATGAGGAACATGAACAGAATACCAGCTCTTTAAATGTTTTAAAAACAGGTACGTTTTTTACTTTAACTTGAGTAACATTTATCATGTGGCATCTGTACTTTTAGGTACTGCTCATTTTCTCATAGACTTCTTTACAATCACATTTCTTTCTGCAACCAGTGGAGTCGCCCCCTGCTGGCCGTTAGAGAGAATACATGTTTAAGACACTTCGCTTCACTTTTCAGACCCGGGGGTTCCTGCTTTTATCTTTACTGATTTTTAAAATCATCAATCTCAGACGTAACGACAGAATTAACCTATTTTTAATATTTTAATCTGAACGCACACTCCAGACGATTCAGTCCAGACGCAGGACAACTCACTTGATATTAAACGTTTTCAGAGTGCCGGTTCCGGGGACGTGCTGTGTTTTGCACAGAAAAACAAAAGAAGAGAATCAAACACTTGAGGTTTGAGGCTTGAGGGAATTTATACTTTTTATAGGGGGGTATATAAATACCAAACATAACGACCTTAAAGGTTCAGTGTAAAATTTAGTGGCATCTGAGACAGCAGAGTGTGGCCAGTCAAGAAATGAGGTTTCTTTAGTAGAAATTATATTTACTTATTTATTTTTTAAATCACATGGTAGTGTGAGTTGGCCACTGACAGACAACATGGAACATGGAAGGTGTCTGTGGTTATGTAGATGAAAATGTCTCATTCTAAGGTCATAACAACATAATGGTTTATTATTTAAGGTCTTTATACACCACTGAAAACATAGTTATGCACACACTGAACCTTTTTTAAGATTATCTCTGTAAACCCCTCACACTGATCTAGCCCATGGATGCACATGGACACATGGGTATTAAAATAATAAACTATAAATCAAGTACATACCAGACAGCGTGTGATTCTGATTTAACACAAATCAGAACTCCAGGTGGGATCAGGAATTTGACTAAAGCTAATCTTTGGAAAACTCTTGCAACTAGTGATTGATGACACTCTGTCTAACAGGTAAGATGGAGGACGAGTGGCCAGAATACCCAGCAGCCACTGCTCTCCTGTCAGACAAGCTGTTGGTGGTAAAGAACTACTCTGCTGCTCGCTGTCAGCTGTGGAAGATGAACGGCCTGTACGCCTACGCCAGGATGAACTGACCACAGACGACAGCGTCCTTCTGACCACCCAGTTATTCATCACTAGACTTTCTTAACGTCACTCCTTTTTTAAAGTTTGAAAACACATCGTAAGTAGAACATTTTGTCAGTTTGAGGTTACGTTTAAGTTCTCAGCAGCTTGACTTTGTTGTGTTGTGAAATATAAACAGCATATCTGTGTTGAAATATTTCCAGAGCTCCAAAATGACAAAAAAACCCCAACATATTTTCACTGAAGCTCCCGTGGAAGCTCCGTTATTTGTCCGGCGCTCCGTCCCAGTCCGACAACTTACTGAACTCTCTGTTGAGCTGGAGGTTAGTTTAAAAGTGTTTTTTTGTTTGGTAATTTGGGTGAACTGGCCCTTTAACAGGCTGGAGGTGACCGCACATTAAACTGGGAGTATGTTAAGGAGGAAACATGTAGCCCACCGTGTACAGTCGAGTTGTTGAGTGTAAGTTGTTCTGATTTGGTAATTGAGCCTGTGTTAAGAAAGATCTGAGTGAGCTGTCTTTGATTTGATTGCCAGTAGGTTATGACCAACACAGCGAGTCACCTCCACCTCAACCCTCTGCAGCCTTGTTTCAGCTCAGTGAGTCGTGGGAAGATTCACCTGCATAATTTTCTGTGGGAAAACCTTTTAAAATGATTGATGTTGTGATCAAAGATGTTTTCTTAAGTCTATGTAATACGATGTGTCCTTGCATCACGACAATATTTAAGTTAAAATGTGATTTTGATGCACATTTCTTAAACAGATATTGCACCTCCTGTGATTTGAATATTGCAGTAGACCTTAATTGTTCAGCCCGTATAGCTGCCCCCAGTTTACTGTGCATCAGTTAGTCAAAGCTTTATTCAGAAATATGCACCATGTAGGCACAATAAAGTAAAACTTACGCAGGACCTGCTTCGGTTGAATGGTGCAAGTTCTCTAACAAATATGCAGGGGGGGAGGCCGAGTAAACACTCTTTATCACGAGTAAACTAAACAATCAGCAGGGTCCCTTTAATCAGAATCCTTTTGAGGTTCCAGCAGGTCCAGGGTCCCAGTGCAGTAGGTATCTGGGTCTTGTTGAATGCACCATGTTTGGAGATTGAGCTCGAGGGATTGTTCTTTATCTCTGAGTTGAAACATGTGATAAGGCCCACTTTTCCAGACTTTACAGCCTGACGGCTCAGTAATCATTGAAAAGAAGATGCTGACAGTGATCATGTGACTGAAGTTCCCTACTTGGGTCACGAGATAAATGAACCGTCTCCATGAAGGCCATGAGATGTGGCTAAAACCTCAGTGTGGAAACTTTATAGCTTTGCTTTACTAAAAACTGCTGCATTTATGTAAATAGTAGGTCAGTAAGGGATGAAATTAAATCATTAAATATGAATTTTTAAGTCAGTTAATCAATAACAGTTGACAGTTAGTCAATAAATAGTTGCTTTTAAAAACATTCATAAGTAAATTTCACACTTCAGGAACTTAAGCTGCTCCGTCAATAACCGACCCGGTGCGTGAACATGACGCAGCAACTTCCTGTTAACAGTCAGCCTTAAGTAGTTAAAGGTGGGGTCAGTGATTCTGATGCAGTACACGTCTCTTTGTCAAAATCAGCAAAAATCTCCTCATGGTCCGCCACCTGTCCGCTCTGTGCGCGCTGGTGTTTGGACTCCGTGGATGGGAAACAAACAACGTGGCGGACCCCTCCGCACTAAGCTAACCCAGCCGGGATTTCAGGGAGCGCTAAATGACTTGCCAGTAGACATTTATTAACCCACAACTCGGCTAACGTTGGCTGCTTTACTTGCTGTGTGGCGGTTCTCTCTATATCATGGTGTTTTGTTCTGGTGTTGGATTTCTCCACAATCGCTTACTTCGGCCCTTTTTAAAGGGATTTTGGCTCACCGGTCGGTGAAAACACCGAGATTCAGTTTCTTGCCAAGTAAAGTTGACTTCAAATTGAAATTCAGGGAAATAACAGAAGCGAGAGGGATGGTGGGACACGTAGTGACCTCCGGTGTTGTGTTAACTTGTGAATGTGCCGCTGACTCACAGGATGTTTTGTGAACTGCTGTTTGTTTGCACTGATTCATACCCTGAATTCTTGGCCACTAAGTCTTTGCACCTTCCTGGCAACATGATTAACGTGTATATTTTGTTGCAGTCACAGACACAGTGTCGCTGATTCGACCAGGTTGTGAGTTTATTAACTTTTTCTTCCTGTTGTTATTCCAGATGTTTGTATGAAGCTGTTTTGTGAATCAGAGCATTTAACAGAGTTTGAACCAAACTCTGTCCCAGCTTATGCCACGTGGTTCTTGTTATCCACTCTGTATTACTTTTGTTTTATGGTTTGTAAACTTTTATTTTTATTATGCTTAATTAAACTTTTCTTGTGTGCTGATGCAGCGAAATGTCATCACTCTTTAAACTCTGAATAAATTGACACCACATGATTGAGTTGAATTTCATGTATGTTTGTTTTAGACATTGGAAAACATTTGTTATGAGTGGAGTTTTCGGTTTTGGATTCGGAGTCGGACCCTTTCACAGCACCCAAGGACGCTTTACACATAACTACAGAGACAGAACAATAAAAAGTCATTCAGGATTGAATGCCTTTGTAAAGAGATGGGTTTTTAGAAGATGTCCAGAGAGATTTCGTACATCTCACAAATCTCCTTCCACATCTGCTGCTCACATTGTCCTGCCCTCGCCGTGTACGTGCAGTGTGGCGAAATAAAAACGCTTCAGATGGAGTCTGAGGTCCGCAGACGTTTTTCCTGCAGTAGACCCGGTTATTATTAGATTGACATTGAAAATAACTGGCAACGACTTCGATCGCTTAAGACATTTGTTGCAAGTAAAAACATTTCATTGTTCCAGCTTCACAAGTGTGAAGATTTGTCACAATTAGTTTAATTTATTTGTAATGACATTGAGCTTTCAACTGTTAGACAAAACAAGCATTGTGAAGGTGTCACTTTGGGTATTTCTCACTATTTTAAGAATTAAAAAAATCGATTTAATGGAGAAAATAATCAGCCAGAGTGAAAGTAGTTGCAGTCTGATTCAAAATGAGCTACAGCTCAACAATGACTACTGTAAAATCCTGATTTTACATTAATAGATGAGAAACAATAATATATATTATATATAATTATTTCTGCAATCAGTACTTCTACTTTTAATATTTTTCCTGATAATACTTACATACTTTTACTGTAGTAACATATTCTGTGCAGGACTTTTACTTGTAGTATTTTTTACAGTTTAGGATACATTATAATTACTTTTAATTAAGTAAAGGATCTGAATACTTTGTCCATCACTGACACACATGAGTTACTTGAATTATGTTTGAAAGGGCGACCTGTTTATAATGAATGCCGTAGTTTAGTGAACAGGAAAGTTTTCCAGCGGTATTTTTAAGTTCATGTCCGCAGCTGCTGACAAACAGAACCATACTAACAGTACGTTTGATACAGAAGTATTTTTAAAAGCAGGTACTTTGACTTTTGAGTAGAAATTGAAATGTTCTAGTTTTTGGAGTAATATTTAGTAAGGGTACTTTTAGTGCAGAGCAGGATTTGTGTACTGCGTCCACCACTGAGTGAGACTTGGTTCAGAAAGAGCATCAGTGCCTCCATCTCTGCATGAGTGTGTTTGTCCAGCAGATGGCGGCAGGAGCGAGCCCTGATGCGTGCGTGCGTGCGCGCGCGCGCGTGGAGGTCCTGTGTCTTTAAGGCCGGATCTCACAGCTCACACACACGGCTGACTGGTGCCACGCTGCGGCGCCTGCTCAGTGCGCATCGCCGCTGCTGCTCGGATCCTGGACCAGGAGCTCCGCTGTCCGTCCGACTGTACGTCTGCTGCACGCCGTGTGTGCGCTGTCTGATGGTAACCTATGGATTGACGGAGGCAGGCTTTTGTTGTCAGCCCGGTGGTTTGTTCTGCTGGAGCTGCACTTTCACCGGAGAATGCCCAGAGGAGCCGGAGCCGTGTCCCTGCACGGATAGCGCAGAAATACACCCGAGAATCACGGTAATTAACGCTCTGATTCATCCACACAGTTATGCGCATTGTCCCTGCTTTTGTTTGTTATTCTCATTAGAATAAAAGGATCTCGCGTGAGGCTGAAGCGCCGTCACAAATCACGGCACCGCGGCTCATCCCTCCAGAGGCTGTGGGTCTGTTTACCATCAGAAAATAGACACCGATCCGTCAGCAGGGTCCCAGATCTCAGTCAGATGGGACTTTACCGTCCGCAGGCTGGAACAGCATCCTGCAGCCATGTCCCCTCCGAAGGGGACCGTGAAGGCAGCAGCACTCGGGCCTGCTGGAGCTCAGAGCTGCTGCTGCTGCTGCTGCTGTTTAACACACTGAAGTTGTTTGACACCATAAGTAAAATGTAATGTGGTGCTGCTGATGCTGCCTCCTCATTTAAAAAAAAAAGTCTGTAGAAAGCTCATATTTACACGTTTTCTGCAAATAGTTAGGCAAGCACAATGGAACTAACAAAATAAAAGCCCCAGTGAATAATTTATATACATTTTAAATTTCAGGTATTATTTATCATTAAAGTATTGGGCAAAAACATTGTTTTATGAATGAGTTATAAAAGAAAATACAGCATAGTTTTACTTATTAAATGAAGAAACCTTTGCAGGGATTAGACAGTTTTTCCCAGAACCTGAGGAGACCTTCAGAACCCAAAGATATATTCAGTTCACTATGATTGAAGAATATGAAAACCAGTACATATTGTATATTCACACTGATGTGATTTGACTAATTGAATAATCAATTATTTGTTTTCAGTTCTAAATTATTAACAACACTGCCGTTGTGGTCAAATCAGATTCAGATTCCAGTCCTGTGTTTTGGATGTTTTGGGTGGTGTGAGAGGCTTTGGCTGAAGCAAAGACTGCGCCCTGAAGTCTTTCCAACTTAATTTATTCCAGTCAGTCGGAAGAGACGAGTCCAGGTCAAGTAGAAACTTCAGAGTTCTGAAGATGTGAGGAACTTTTTCTCTTTGACGTGACTTCAAATGAAACCTCAACACTAAATATTCCTTTAACAAGATTGGAAGCTTTACTTGTATCAGCCAGCATCCTCACAGTCATCTCCGCTGGTTGAACTTGTATCTGAGCAGCCAAACACGTTACCACCGAGGTCCGTGTTTTTCCAACCTTAGCAGAGTTCACAGAGGTTAGTTTTAAAGATGACGCATTTCCCACATCCCACCTCTGACCATCAACCGCCACAGCAAACGTCTGACCAAGCCTAAATCCCAAGTCTCCGCTCTGTGATGTAGTTTGTTTTATGAAGTTCTTACTCCGCTCCAGGTTTAGGGACATTGAGTTGAAACAGCCAGCGTTGAAAGGAAACTGTCCGTCAGTCAGGTTAAGAGCTGCCGTCCAGTCTCTCTGCTTTTTCCCAGTTCAGGCCTCCACCCTTCTCGCTGGGACTCCTGCCAGAGCTCCTCTGTGATTTAGTGCTCTGACCACATGCAGCCGCTGCCATATGCTTCAGATGACAGCGCATATTTAAAGCTTCTGCAGAGCTGCAGCTGATCTGAAACACTGTTCAGATTTACTTTGTACTCTTTCAACAGTTTCCCCCATATGTATGAAGCGTTAAATCTTAACTGACAGAAATGAAATCCAAACGAGTGAAAAATGTCAAGATCAAAATGTCTGAGGTCTCCAGTGTCGCCTAGTGATGTTTATAGACAGAATATGCAGCTTTAAAGTGGAAAAGTCTGTGAAATACAGGCACATTTAGACCATGATGGGAAAACTCTCAGCTAAAAGTGAAATTCTTCGGAACACGCTGGGATAAATTATGACTTTAAATAAAGAGCAATGTTAGAACAACATCATGGCTGCAAAGTTAATTAGTCAGCAACCTGCGTCATGAGAGGAAGCCGACACTGACCAGATTACTGCTGAAACTCAATTAGCAACGACAGACAGAGGTCGAATTATTAATATGTTTTGGTCTCATGAAATGTCCTTAGATTCAAAGATGTTTGGTTGTTCAGAAGATGTTCTTTTGCTAACTTTTAATAAACAGAACAATGAATTCTGTTTGTTTGCTACTTTGAAACCCCACCAGACTAAACCGAGAGAGAAGTCACTCTGGTGAATAGTCGTCGATCGATCGGAGGTCTTTCAGTGTCCAGTGCCGATATTTAGAGAGCAGGGCGGCCGATATATAATGCTGCAGAGTACAATCTAAGGTGCATGTTATCTCAGCCAGTAATGTGTTAGTTTAGCGTGGCTGGAGTTTAAGGGAGAGCGGGGTTCAGTTTGACAGAAGGGACATCATTCAGCTGCATTTTCTCTACAGCATAACTGTAAAGATTATGAATAACGACAATTAAAAAGTTACGTATCCAGCAAAACAACAGAAGCATTCTGTCGTTCCACCGTTTGCTGCTTTTCTCTGTGTCATATTCTTAGAAACAGAATATCTTTGGGTTTTCTGGACATCTGAAGATGCCACCTTGAGCCCTGGGAACGTGTGATTAACTTTTAAAATTTAAAAATAATAAGAATATTAATCAAGAATGAAAGTAATGACCAGCTGCAGCTCTAGGACAGGTAATATATAAAATCAGCCTGATGTAACAGTCAGCAGGACACCAGCAGCCCGAAGCTCCAGTAGAATCCACTATCGTCTCCACTTTGCTTTAACTGTGTCACTGGACCTCCATCTTCCACCTTACTGAATTATGCAGCCTGGTTAACCCACATTCAGACTCACATTCTGGGACACGGTGTCGACTAAAGGCCTCTTCACGTGGTGGGCTGGCCCAGATGCAATCATGAGAGAAACGTGGTGAAATGGTCCTGGATCTCGCTGTGAAACACGTCCACGTCGATGGCCGACTGAGAGCCTCAGCAACTAAACACAGGTTGCATCCAAAAAAACGTGAGACGGCATGAAATGACGAGCTAGCGTAATGCTGCTGCTAAAAACAACCCTCCAACTCCCTTATCAAATTTAGCATTTACTGTAAAGTTGTCCTCCTCTGGCTGCGACCGGCTCCACGCTCTCCTCCTCATTTGAGGTGTTTTGATGCGTAGAAATGCCTCTGCTGGCACCCGCGTGATTTTTGCAATACCATCAGAGCGCTGCAGTCCACCAGGTATTCACTGCACAGTCTGGCGTGCTTTAAAACTGACTGAACTTGTAAGACTGTAGGCGCTTTAATTTGAGATCTGTCATTCGATGATCAGTCTGTAGGGGGTTGTGGTACCTGATTTACAGCCCAAAGCATCAACAATTTCTGGCATTAGAGAAGAAGCTTCTTAGCGTTGATCATAAAGTTTAATAACAGCCTCGGCTCCAGATGCTTTCCATCTGTGTCTTTATGGGACCGCACTGCTCTGCTTTTGTGCTTTTGGATAACAGACCATGCAAATTTAAAATGAACCCATCACTTGTCTTTAGCACTCCAGAGCTCTTTGTTCCTCTTTGTTGCTGCTCTGGGAATAATAACAGACTTTCATTGCGTAATCCTGCTTTGGAGATATTCCTAATCCTGATGGTTTGCCTGTCCTGTTGCGTGTCCAGATTACCACTCCTGGTCCTGCCATTGGTGTAGATTCAAACAGAGAATGCATCTGAAGCGGGATTAATTCGCTCGCAGCTTTGTTTGGGGATGATTTAGCAGCAACGCTCCGACTCTGTCTGGGATTATGTGCATTGTTTTAAAAGACACACAAGTGGCCCAGATCAATGTTATGATATGAGAATAATAATAATAAGCTTTATTTATATAGCACTTATCAAACAAAGTGCTTCACGACAAATAACACGTAAAGTACAAAAAATAACCACGTGGGTAAAATACAGAATGAAAGAACAAGGATCACAATAGAGTATAGCGAATATGTTCGGTAGGACATAAGCAAAGATAAGACAATAGTAAAACGCCTGGCAGCTCAGATAAAATCTGGATATGATTTCTGCTAAAAGTAAGTTTTTAAAAGAAGAGGCCGACCCTGCCAGCCTAATTTCCTCCGGCAAGTCGTTCCAGAGCCTTGGGGCCCAATCAGCAAATCCTCGGTTTGAATCCAGGAATAGACAAGAGGCCCTTGCCAGAAGATCTTAGAGAAGGCTCATAAGGAGTTAAAATATCTAAAATATAATCAGGAGCCAGGCCATGAATAGCCGTAAAAGTAATGAGTAAAATCTTAAAATCAATCCTAAAACAAACAGGGGCCCAGTGCAACCACGCTAAAGCAGGGTGGTATGATCATATTTTCTTGTGCTAGTTCTGTACAGTCTGTGTTTTCATACCTCACACGCCAGCTGAATGCCACGGATTGTGCTGCAGTGTACGACCAGCGTTTTAAATGTTGTCGGCCTTTAGCTAGTGGAATGTGGTGCACTGCGAAACAAGTTTCTGTAAATTCACACACAAAGTCTGGCTTCCTGTCGCAGCACCTTAGTGCTGGTGTGAGGCCGATGTCAGGCGATGTGGGCTACAGTCATACGAACGCTGGCAGGTTGATTGTTCCCAGGGGGCTTATATTACTGCAGCAGACACAGCTCTGCAGTACAGCGCTCTCGTATTACCCATCTCTGCCTGTCTGATGGACAAACCTGCAGGATGCTGCCCACTCAGTACTGCGGTCCAGACCTCTGGGTCGATGACCCCTTTAGCCTAGCCAATCAGAGCTTTTGTGGGTGGAACTAAGGTTTTGACTTTATGAGCAGTCTTAACCATATTATTAATTACAGACATTAGTTAATTACGGTATTAAATCACTGATCGCAGAGATGGACTGGGGTCAAAAACACAGACTGTATAAAAGAAGAGGACGTAGCCGACATTACATCACCCATTGGTTTGTGGACTACTAAGCCTTGAGTTTGGCATTTTGGCCGTCGCCATCCAACTGTGATGTTAACCGAGATGCTGATTTTGCCGAGGGAGAAAAAAGACTTAAAACTAAACCTACATACCGGAAAAATGAGTAGCCGACTCCTGATAGGCTTTTTCAGCGGATACGAGTCGCCTCTATCCTGATTGACAGGATGTCAATCAGCTTGTAGCCCCGCCCTAAAGCCTCCCCTGCTTTCTGGTCTCTGTTCCTCTAAACGGGACCATAATTTACTAAATGAACATCATGCTGTGTTGAAGAAGACTTGAAACTAGCGACTGAGACCAGAAACTCATCAGGAAAGTGTTTTTAAATAACTTTAATTTGATTTAAAACACTTCTCTGGCACAGTGCATGATTCAACATTGCACATTCACAGCTATAGCAATAAAACCTTGATGTTTTTATTTTTATTATTAGGGCCCGAGCACGAACCGTGCGAGGTCCCTATTGAAACTGAAGAGATTATTATTATTATTAGGGCCCGAGCACGAACCGTGCGAGGTCCCTATTGAAACTGTAAGGATTGACACTTCGTACTTTAACGAACTCCTCATAGGGATTTAGTCCGACCGACCTCAAATTTCTGCTGTGCCTTCTAAAGGCATTGAAGATGAAAAGTTGTGCTATTTGTGAGTTTTCGTCGATGGGCGTGTCCGTGGCGTCGATGATTCGCTATGAAACAGGAAGTTGTTGTAACTTCAGTGTACATGCTCACATCTGAACAAAACTTTACGTGTTTTATAACTGTCCTGCCCTGAACATAACTACAAGCCAATATTAATTTATATTCATAGCGCCAAGTGCTATGTAGCGCCACAAAGGGGACACAGGAAGTGAGGTTTAAAACCTTCATGCAGCGTCCGAAGCTCGTAGCAAATTCACAGCCGCACCGGCAGAGCTCCAGAATAAGTGCGAGGGCCCGCCCAACGCTGCTTGCTGTTGAGTTTTTAGTTTAAGCTTTCAGCAGATAAAAAAAACTAAATTTCCAATGACTTTGTGTTTGTGCGGCAGCCGGAGTCACAGGGGAAGAAATCTTACACAGTTTGTGTTTTAAGCAAAACGAGCAAATGCATCATGCAAACAACTATTATATAAGCGTGTTTCTTCTATGTGATGAAGTCATTACAAGGAAAATGTGCTCCGGTTTCCCAGTGTTGCCAGCTCATCATGCCCATTTGAAGAGTCGCCCACATCTATCAGCTGTGCTCTGCTTTTTTTTCCTGAGTCATCTTGAGTTGTTGTGTTGTTGTTGTTCTTCAGCTCATGTAGTTCTTGGTTTTCTCTCTTTCTCTCTGCAGATATTGACATGAAGAAAGACATTGAGACTCTAATAGCAGAGGAACGCGCTGATATCATCTTGAAATATGCTACGGTGAGTTTGTGCCTCCAACAGACAACACAGATGGATCGTGTAGTCAGACGTTTCTGTAAAATGTGTCTGATGACCCCACCTCGTTAGCAGATATTGTTTGTAAAGTTATCCTCAGTCATCAGCGTTTTGTTGAGTGAACACACAGATTTGGAATTAGTGTTTTACTTTACTACAGGCTCTTGAAGATTAATGTGTGGGCCAGTAGCTGCATCATCTCTTGTGTGGTGTGTTACTTTTCTGTAGAATGAAGAGTTCACACGTGGTTGATGATGTGGTTGAAGAAACCAGCAACAGACACACTGAGAAGGACGAGAACGTGAATTCAAATGTGTGCCGTGTGGTTAGTTGTGCAGTGCACTTCTGCATGTGTGGGGGATTATACACTCTGAATGTGTGTGAGTGGGTGGAGGCGAGTATGCCGCCAGAGTGCATTACTAACGTGTTGTGTAATAATATGTTTGTGCCTGTGGAGAAAGATGACCAGAGATATGAAATGAAACTAACAGTAAAACCAGGCATGAAAAACCTTCTGGTTAACAGCTAAAACTAAACCGAGAGGATGAAGTGCGACTCCTTGTTTTCACTATCAGTCTGAAGCCAGTTGCCCCGGAGAGTCTTGAACGCACCGTCGTCAACAATCAAATAATTATCACAGGCATCTGTGTAGCTTGTGTGTGCAACAGTTTAACTAATGAGCACCAAAAACATCATCCTGTTTTTTTAATATAAATATATTTACCCACACGAATAATCTTTAAAAGCCGGACTGCACGTTGAGATGCAGAATATTTGTCCAAATCAGAGCAACTGTGTGTTGAGAAACAGTGAGAGCCCTGGAGGTGTCATGGTGAAGAAAAAAAAATAAAAAATTGTACACAGGATTTAATCATTTGCGCTCTCAAATCAATAATTCATGTGCACAATTTAGTAATTTGTGCTCTCCATTTAATACCATATTATATCTACCACATGCTCCTCTTTTTGAAGGCTGTAAACAGCTTTGGTACAGCGGATACAATCAGCTGGAAGTTTGAAGAAGAAGGCAAAGAAATCATTAGAGTTTTTATGAACTGGATGACATCTGCATCGTAGCTTTAAGTTTGTTATCCTGTAAAAAACGTTTAAGGGACCTCAAAGATTAAACAACGTTGTGATTAACAGCAGTGTGTCCACAAGTCTCAGTCCAAGGTCAAAATAAAACTGTAGTAAATCAGGACAAGACTAATGGCATGAAGGTTATAAGTTAATCTGCTCTTATTTTCTCTCCATGATGCCTCCCATGATTTGTATTTCTTCACTGATGTAGCAACTTTTAATAACCGAGTTTATAGGTGTGGTTCTGGACACTTTTACATCTCCGCTGTGCCTCGAGATTCCATGAAAATCACAAGCAGAATCCATGAAGATGAGAATCCTTGGCGCAGTCCAGCACCCACGGAGAATGTGTTGGACTCCAGAGTAAATACAAGTACAGGTCTCATTTCAGTAAATATGAGCCTTTCGGTATTGTGTAGCAGCCGCAGCATCTTATATCCTGCAGCACCACAAGAAACTCAGACGGACAAATCAGATAAAAAGGTGGTTGACTCCTGCAGTACAAATTTATTAAAAAAGCAGCTGCATTTTGGTTATAGGCTGGAATGTGCATCGCTTTGTCATTACTGTATTAATGCAAGAATATTTGGAAATGCTGACAGTATGTGTGGCGATGACACATTTTGTCCCGGTCTGCTGAGCAGCATTTGGTTATTATGCACGACAGAAACCAATGTTATCAAATTTCAAAATAAAAGCCATGATAAGTGTGAATGCTTATGCAGCTCTACATCCCTGCTCGGAACAAGAAACTCAGAGTGGTGAATGTGCTGATGCAGAGTTGAACTGGGGGCAACGGAGGCGGTGGCAGTTAAAGGTTAAATTTAGCTCAGCAGTGGCAGAAGCGGAGTTGGGGGGGGGGTGCTCGTGGAGGGTCTGCTCTGTCTAGCCATAGCAACAGCTGTGACACACTGTGCAACGATTGACTTGACACCGACCTCCGGGGGCTGGCTGAAGTCCCGGTCATCGGGATTTCTGTGTTGGGATGCTGGTTTCCGGCCACATGTGCAGCTCAGCGCAGAGAGGAGGAGCAGGGCTGGAAAAAGAACCGTTCATCCCAGGAGAACTCTGGGTAAAAGCCTGCCACAGATGCATACAGGGGTTTGTCTGTAAGGCAGGTTTCAGAGAGACCAAGCTGACCTGGCTTCACCTCTCATCCTGCTCTCTGGCGCTCTCTTATTCTGTTGAAACAGGTTCACGGTCAGCAGATATTATGTTTCAATCTGTTACACTCATATTAAACAGATAAATAAAAAATACATTCTTCAGTTAAATCTGAGCCTTTTTATATGGAGTTTTGTAAAAAACATTTATTAGTCATGCTGAAAGGATATTTGCCTCTTTGCTTTTCTTGGGTGCATTAACAGAAAGCATAATGGGAACTGAAAACACTTCATTTGAAACTGCAGGTAAAAGCTGAATTGAGTAAAACCGATGTTCTACAAACTACAGTTTTATTTTGGCATTTAAAAATGGCAAACTTGAGGCTTTGGTCCTGAGACGATACCTGAGTTACATTGCCAATACCAAAGCAATGTTCACTGCAACTTCATGTAGCTGACACTTGATCCAAAGCGACTTACAATTGCTCAATATGTCAGAGGTCACGCTGGAGCAAAATGTATCACAAGGGCCACTTACGTGAAGCTACATGTGTTATCTCACAACCGTAACGAGATGTGACTGAGAGCTTTGGACAAACAAAGTAACGGGACTTTGTAATAAGATTTTCTTTGTCAAATTTGCAAAATCTTTAACTTAAATCAGGAACGTTCTGATGAAAAAATAAAGTGAAACACACACATGGCGTGTCATGTCGTTCCACAGGATGTATCATACAGAAGGAGTCGAGGGACAGCCGCTGGGATGTGTCAAACTGGGAATGATAAAATACCAGCTTTTCTGGAGAGTTGACACCCGTTGGCTCTGGGAAATCAGGGAGTGGTGCATCCTGATGAGTTGACATTCATTAAGACGCTGCCTGTGTGCAGGAGTGAACCATGGTTGCAGGTGTTTAGACGTCCGTCACACACTGATCGTATAAGTGTTGTCCCTGATCTGACCAGATATTTGATGCCAACCTTTGGAACCTGACAGTTTTGGATACTTAGGTTTGATACCAGAAATTATTTGAGGCTTCAGTTCAGTAAAAATGACATTCAGATTGCGTCTTAGAAGTTATATTTTGAATTAAATAATTTACTGAATTCTATTTTGGACTTCAGTAGTACTAAATCAGCATAACACATTCAAATGTGTGTGGCTCTGATCTCCTTCTGAAACACTGAGTCTCCAAACGCTCTCAGTGAGGAGGTATTTTTAGTCCTCTCACTTTCACGAGGCTGACATCACTCGCGGGGCCTCCAGGGCTCAGAGTGCCGACTCAGCCGCGAAGAAGCCGAACAGTTTCTGTGAGCACATTGTGACCCTCTCTCCCCCCAGCTGAGCGCAGGAGGCTGATTGGCTGCCTTCCAGACATGCAGCCAACCACACAGCAGTGTTGTCATTCTCCAGTAGGCTGTCGGAGGATTAGTTCCCTCTCTGTTATGTCAACGTTGGGACCAGATTGGAGCCTAAATGGATTTTCCATGATGAATACATTGGTCCCAATCTTTGTGCTGATTAATGCAGATTCTGAATGCGTGTTTAGGTTGGACGGTTTCACTGTAGAGTGTTACCTGCTGGTAAAGTTTGACTTATTGATGAAACCTTTTAGTGCGTGTGCACCCCTGCCAGTGTCAGACAGTGTGTGTATCTTTATGAATGTAATAAAAGTATATCTGCATGCAAATACATATGCATCACGGGTTATTTAAATTAATATGCTTTTTTTTTTTTATTGTAGCTGGTCATGTTGGACGGCTGTCAGTGGGTTGGTCAGTAAACCACTTTGGCCCATGTTTTGGATGGATTGCTATGAAATTTGGGGCAGATAATCATGGCACCCAAACATAAATTCCAATGACTTTGGCGATCTAATGCCATCAACAGGTCAACATTCACACTTACTTGCAGCTATAAACGTGATGACAAAATTCCAATGAACAGCTTCACTGCACACAAGTGACTGTGGCTCAGGAGGTAGAGCGGGTTGTCCACTAACCAGAAGCTTGGTGGTTGGATCCCCGGCCCCTCCACTGTCCTTGGGCAAGATACTGATGGTTAGCTGCGTGGCTAACTGCATTTAGCATCACATCCCGACCAATATGGAATTTTTAAGACCAATACCAATTTTGATATTTGAGGATTTTAAAATCCGATATTCCGATATGTCGGCCGATATTCTTCTTTTCCCTTCTTCCTAGACACATAACACATAATATAACCAAAGATTACCCTTAACATCTGTTATGTGTAGTTATGAGACCTTATATCAATCAGTTTAAACACAGCAGTAGAGCTGAACATGTCAGAGTCCTCTGGTGGACAAACTATGCAACAACAGCAGTCCTAACATGATAGAAGGATATTTGTAATTGTCATTTATCGGCTGTTATAAACACAGATACCGATTTATCTGCAATTCACATCGACCGATAATATCAGCGAGCCGATTTATCGGTCAGCATAGCTTTGTCTTTCTTATATTTTCCATCCACTATGTTTATTGTTCTGCACTAAAATACCCAAAGGAATTTCCTGGTATGTGTAAAAACCTACATGGCAATAAAGCTGATTCTGATTTAATGGTAAAATACGCAGAACAACTTCTCTCCCAACTGCGTGTTCTCTGGTAAACAACGCTGGTTAAAGAGAATAACTGATAAACTAATAAAAAACTAACTAAATACTAATAGAAGTGACTGATTTTACATCAGTTAGTTTGGAGTGTTATTGATCCCATTTAATAATTTTTTGTGTTAAAGGTTAAATTAATGTGAATGTTTTGTGCACTTACATACTTTTCTGATTGTATCTTTGAAAGTTAGTTTTTGTGTTTGTGTCTCCAGGGCAGGCAGGCCGGGGTGGAGATCGACCCCTGGGAAGATGCTGACTACAGCATCTACAAAGTCATCGACCGTTTCGGCTTCATGCAGTAAGTCTGCCTGTTGCACGTTGTTGGCGGAGCTGTGATCACGGTCAAGATTTAACCTGATGTTTTGTTGTTCTTTTGTTTGCAGTGAGGTCGAGTTGCCAGCCCCGACTGCACATGAAGAAAAGGTAAATAAGGAAGCTCACAAGGCTCCAGAGCTAACGGTCACATTGCTGCCAAACTATGTCCAGTAGTAAGAAAGGTAGTCAGCTGTGTATATGTTCACCAGCTTCTGTCTCCCTCACAGCTGAAGCAGCTGGAGATCGAGAGAGCGGAGAAGTGGCTGAAGATGGTGAAGAAGTGGGATAAATACAAGAATAGCGACAGGGTGAGTAACAGCCCACACGTACAAGACCCGGAGGTCAAACAGAGACGGAAAACACCTTTTTATTATTCTCATTTAGGAGTACTTCACTGCTGGAGAGTTCAGACAATAGCTGACAAGCATGCAAAGTGGGTTGCTGGTTGGTGAGGTCACACAATGAATCACTGCAGCTGTCAGTGGTGATTCCAGTAACTCAGTTAACTGTAGCAAGGCATTGAATTCCTACATGCTCACTCATTATGAAGAACTCTGGATCAGCTTTACGTAACCCCTGAAATATGGGTCAAACTAGAAGATGGCTATTTGGAAAACCTCCACCCACACTGAACAGTTTCTCAAACAACACTCATAACTCAAAACATTCGTTCTTATCGCGTCAATTATAAATTCAAATGACTACCTGACAGAGGAAAACTCACAGCCATTATTTTTCATATAACTCCTTTCACATCACACTGTGTTTTTTGGTTTGTTGAGCTAGGGGCTCCTTATTTGTGGTGTTTGGGTTTGCCTGTGAAGGATTGCTTTTGGATATACACCAGTCAGCCATGACGTTATGACCACCACTGTACTGTGTACTTTCAGAAGCAGCAGTTTGACCTACAGTAGGGCCCGATCGGAGTCTGTGAGGGCTTAGGGGTGTCCCGCTGTCAAATCGTCAAGCGCTCGAAGGCTCTAAGTCTGTATCTCTGCAGACTTTGTCTGAAGGAATTGCTCACACTTCATAGCGTTGACATGAAACACGGGGGTTACCAGGGGAAGCGAGACAAACGTCCTGGCGAACCCGCCATATGAGAGAAGAAAGAAGGACAGTAAGCAGGGATGGAGCTACAAACCCTGGCGTTAAGATGGTCTGAAAAAAAACAGTTTAAATGTAAATAGATAAAGATAAACATACCGTAGGTCCAGGGCTTGTTTAAGGCATGCACTGCAGTAATGTGATGTATTAATGTACATACAGTTTGTGTAAATGTGAAGGATTTTATTTCATAAATTGGCAGCAGAGTTATACAAGTTTTACAGCTAAAACTCTACTGTTGGTTTATTACACTCCTTTTATTTAAGAAAGAGATAAATAGAAACTGTACAGAACAAATCAAACATTTGAAACAGTCTCCACTGGAGCTCCATCCTGAGACGGATGGATGGAAACGGCTACTAATTAGGATTAGTATTCAAGCTAAAAATTTCCAAGCTCTTGCCGCCAAAATGTGTTCTCTTTGGAAGTTTTAAACGCTTCCAACATACACAAGTAAACAAAACAGTGATCCATGTCTGACACACACAGAACAAACCTGCTTTACTGTGTACTCACTGAATATGTTTCAAGTGTGAAAAACCTTTTGCTTTATTCCTGTGAATATTGTCGTAGGCGGTGAAACTTTCTGGTGACTCACACTTTACAGCGGCAGCTCGCTAAACCCTCTGGCTTTTTATTCACCCAGTGTTTGTCTTTGCTTCTTCTGCTGTCAGATGGTAAAACGGGTGTACAAGGGCATTCCCCTGCAGCTCAGAGGCCGGGCCTGGGCGCTGATGCTGGACGTGGAGCGGGCGAAGACGGAGAACGAGGGCAAATATGAGGTGTGCACTCACAGTGTCATCCAGACTGCAGAAATGTTGTGAAATGAGTCTCTTGATGTTCTCCATGCATTAACAAAGTGAGAGAGAGGCCTTTTCTCAGCAGGAGGTCTGATCTGTACAGAGTATGTTGGCCCATAAGTAACAATGAATATCAGTAGAGTTATGTAAAAGAAATGTTTGAGGTTAGGTTACGTTTCTTTGATAATCAAATTTAAGGGATTGAAAAATGTGTTTAAATAAGAAAAAGGAAAACAGGCCAATGAATTGTAATTTTGACTCCAACATCAATAACAAAGATTTGTAGTTTCAAACTGCTTTGCACCACTTAGAAGGTGGTTTTGTTTTCACTTTTAATGTAAGGTGACCAGATGTCCCCGTTTCCGGGCACAGTGCCCGGTTTTGGTGGCCTGTCCCCGTCTGAAGCTGTCCCCGTCCCCGTTTTAACTGTGTGTTAATCATAGACTGTTTTTGGTGTTAACATAGCTGAAATCAGATTTTTGGTGGCCAGAAAGACTGGACAGCAGAGCATACAGGTGCCAAAAAGTCATCGTCCACCGGAACTAATTGCTGTCTGCAAGAGCACGCGCAGCATGTTGAAGCCGTATCGCCCAGTCTCTACGACGGCTGCTTTTATCTGGATCAACATAGGTGTCATTTACGCTGGGGACGCTGGGGACATGTCCCCACCACTTTTTGAAAGCATTTGCTGAAAGTTTTCTAAAAATTAACTTGCCACAATAAATGTTAAATAACTTGAACAATAGGAAAACTTTAAATGCAATGTAAATAGGCCTATAGAAGAAACAGATCTGCCTTGTCCAAAAAAAAGTAACTAAGGCTAAAAAAAAAGAAGCTGTTGATTACTGCATTATATTCAATAAATATTTCCACCATAAATTGGTGCAGAAATGTCACTAGAATGCAGGAAATGAAGAGTTTTATGCTCAAAATCTTCATCCCCGAATCAAATAGCCTATTTCATCAATGAATATTTCTTCTACACAGCATTGGAATATCTTGTTGTCTTGTTCTCCAGACTCCAATATTGTGCATTCTCAAGTGTTTTAGCACACGCCTATATATGAGCCCTTAAATGTCCCCACCACTTTTCAGCACAAAGTGACGCCCTGGTGGATCAAACAGACATAACGTGTGAATAAACATCACTTTATGTCCGTCGTAATCTCAAAGGTTTGTCTTTGTGAAACTTTACCGTTTCTTTTAACGGATTTGTGGCCAAATAAGTGTTTGCGCTGTACAGCGTAACCGGGACGGTTTGGTAGGCCTATATCTAATATCCTTGTTTATTGGAAAACGGACCGTGGCCTGTAACTAACGCGACTTACTGCAGAGTTATAAAGAGTATAAAATAAAGACATGATCTCTTTTTCAATTATCCTTATGACATATTGACATATGACAGGTTTGAAAACATGTTGGTGGTCCCTCCCCTTCCTTCTTACGAGTACACCATCCAGGTCTCACAGAGCTGCTTTCTGGCGTACATGTACAGGGCTGGATTGGTAATCTGGCGCAGAGGAGAGTGGAGGTGAAGCGGCAAGCAGGAGTAGCTCAACCTGTAGGGAGGGAGGCTCATTTACGCTGGGGACGCTGGGGACATGTAGGTCAGCATGAGCAGAAAAGATGCTGAAAGATAGGAACTATTAAGGTGCACAAGTTTATAACTGAATTAAATGAATGGAAAAAAACAAAAACAGGAGAAACATTTGACAGCAGTATATTTTGTGCTTCCTTTTATATCAATAAAGACATTTCCTCAATGAATTGGTGCAGAAAGATTCACCAGAATGCAGGAAATGAAGTGTTTAAAGCCCATATTTTCAGGGGGAGGACCCCCAGACCTCCCTCTAAAATCTTTTTAGAATTTATTTATGATCAGGAGTAATTATAAAAATCATAATGAATGTATTTAATGGCCTATGATGTTTAATAATTAAAATGTAGCTCAATGATTTATGGGGTTCAGTTTGACAAATGGCAACAAGGTCGCAGTTTTTGAGGGTTGATACAAGTATGTCTCCAGAATACAGGCAATGAAGTGTTTAATGTTTAAAATCATTTTCCCAAATACTAAGCCTATTAAAACATATTGCTGTCTTGTTGTCATGGCCCCACTATTGTGCAGTGTCAAGTCTCACGGGCGAAGAGTTTTGTCCGACCGATTTTGGTGGGCCTGCGTGTCAGTGTAAACGCGAATTGAGACACACCACATGAAAGCCTCTATGCTAAGCTAGGCTAAACATGTCCTGGACCTGACTCTGTAATAGAGTCTCTGTTTTGATTGAAACCAAATAGTTTTAGCCCGTCAACATTCAGACAAGCTAAAAATAATGCGATTAAATTGTGGTGGAGGAACATTTATTTATTTACCTTTTTAAATGAGTTTTAACTATTAGCTTCAAACATTCAGACTCTGTGTGAATAAAACTCTTGATGTGGAATGAGCTAGTAAAAGGCCAAGCCAACGCTGTGTACGCCTGGATCTGGAGATATGTGTCTGATTAGCTTTCCTGGCAGATGTGCTCTTAAATCTCACATCTGAACTGACATGTATTCATCCTCCCTGCCAGATTAACAGCGTGGACTGGATTAGGTTAGTGAGAGTAAAACAAACAGATGGAAATGTAATGGGGATTTGGAAATGACGAAATCCACCAGCTTTAGACCTGTTCTGGTAATGGCACTTTTATTTTATTTTAATCTCTCTAGAATAAAATTGAAATATGATGCTGCTGCTAATTTGGAACTGCATCAATTTATGACTCAATATCACTAAAATAGTCTAATTACTTCAAGTTATATCTGATTATTTTGGTAGATGTGAGGCTGGAAGGTGAGATGGGGTAAAAAAAAAAGAAGGTTAAATATTTCCAGAAACTTATCTCGGATTTGGATTAAAAAACAAAATGGTATTAACTTTAATAATACGAACCGCTTTCCAAACTATTAAAACCTTTTTTTCCTAAAGTCTGCGAGACATTTTTGAATCAGGTAAATGTCTTTGTTTTATTTTCACCACTTCACTGAGTATCTCTCACCCACCCGACCTGTCCTTGTGGACTTGGCTCTTTGTTTCCGCTCAGAAAATGAAGGAGCAGGCCAGACTGTACTCACCTGAGATCAAACAGATCGACCTGGACATCAACAGGACCTTTCGAAACCACATCATGTTCATGGACCGCTTTGGAGTCAAGTAAGTTTCACGGTGATTAAACGCATAAACAGTTTTTCAGTCAGATTTGCCATCTGTAACTGATTTTCATCAGGGTGAAAAGTTCTGACTCACTTTACTGGACTGCTTTGTCAGTAGTGAGGTTCAAGTCCTGAAGAAATTAAGGTGCAGCAGATTATTGTGCACGGCTTTGGTCTGGTGTCCGCATACTTTTGGCCGTGTAGTGCATGTTGCAATTTTCAGTTCAGCTGTAAAAACACAAACTGTAGTAGAGGCTTTGATTTTGCGACCTCAGCGTGAACCGAGCGCGAAGGAGGCGGGCACGGCTGCATCTTGGATGGCTTTGGGTTTGTGTGGAACCTCTTTTTGTACAGTCTGTGTGTGGAACCTGATCCCATCACAGACTGATGTCACTGACAGTTTAATAGACCGCAGGCCTGTTCGGGAACGGCAGTGGAAAAGTCTGGGGCAGCAAAACGCTTCAATATTTAACGGGAGTTCAGCGGCCCTGCAAAAAATGAAGCTTTTTATAGCACCGTCGCTGCAGCGCTGCTATCTCTGTGCTCTGTTTTGTGTGGAGTGACAGTTATGTGTTCTGTTTACTTGTGTTCTATGTTTTCTACGTTCTGTGGGATTTTGTGTTCTTTTCTATATTTCCTGTGTTAAGTTTTCTCTGTGTTCTCTCTGTTCTGTGCTCTTTGTGCTTTGTGTTTTCTTCTTTCTCTTTGTTCTGAGAGTTTGTTTGTTAGTCCAGTCCGGTTTAAACAGTGCAGAGTGAGACCTCCTGTGGAAGACCATCTGAACTGGAGTCTCTGTGTTGTGAGATAATATCCCACTGCATGTGTACAATACTACTCTACAGTGGACCACGTAAAAATAGTCAACCATTTAGACTAAAATCATCATATTTTCCTTTCCTCCCTCTCTTCTGTACAGGCAGCAGGCTCTTTTCCATGTTCTCTCTGCATATTCAGTCTACAACACAGTAAGTGGCTGTTTTTCCTTCAACACACGAAACACTAAAATTCCAGTTTAACTCGATTTAACTGATAAAGATCTAGATTCTATTCAGAGTTTTCTTTTCCTGAGCAGAGCGGAGACTTCATTTCCTTTTCCCCACTCGTGGCTCATTCTATTCTGCCACAGTTGAGTATGTTTTTCTGTTGTATTTGCTCAGTGTCGACAGTTAAAGCCTACTGATCTAGTGCCTTTATGTATCTGATTACCGGCCTGCTTTCAGTGGCTGCAGGCAGGACTTTATTATCACTGCACTTTAAAATCCACAGCTTGAAACAGTTTCTGCGTAACAGGGATTCTATTGGAGTTGATGTTTAAGGTTCATCGTTCACAAGAAATTATATCATCAGGCAACATCAGTGGTATTTGTACAAACAAGGTGGCCCACCTCCACAGCAACCCTGCCACACTGCGCATCTTTAAACTGGCCGGACAGCTGCAAAAACATATCAAAGAATCAATCAAAGAATATCAATACATTGGTGCATTTCTCCAAAACATGTGGTGATTCATAACTCAGGTGGTAATAGGTTGTGTTGCTCCTTTCAAACATCATTGGAGCTCATTCTGTTTTTTATCTTATTAAAAAAATCCACAACAGAAAAATCCTGAGTGAAAATCAGATTCTAGCAAGATAAGAGTCCACAGCCATGCTAGCAGCTCTGTTAGGCTGTAGCTGACAATGCTAACATGTTGATCTTTAGCAGGCATCATTCTGACCAGGTTAACCAGCTTATTTTAATGTGTAGGCATGCTAACATTTGCTAATAAGCATTTAAAAGAAAGCACAACTGAGGCTGATGGGAATTTCATTAGTTTGCAGGTATTTTGTCATAAACCAAAGTATTGGAGAAATGATTTTGACCTGATGATGATGATGATGAGGGTGACGGTTCATCCTGAAGGGGACATGACTATCTGGACCACATTTCATAGCAGTTTTTGAGATAGCCATGGTGGCGCTAAAGGAAAAGTCAGACGACTAGCAAAGTCAGTGGGATCATCTTCTGGGAACCAAATGACAAATCCACCTGTAGCGGCTAAAAGCACAGACAGGCATCTTAATCGACACGTCTTAAACTTGTACTTAGAACTATTAAAAGCACTCAATGCAGAATGAAACATGTCCGCTACGACTGTGAAACTATTATATATTACATGATGGGGTTGTTATTCCTCATGCATTCATGTAGAAGCAGGATTTTACTGCGTTTTGTATCAGACTGCAATTAATGCCGTCTATTATTGTCTGTTAATGTCTGTACAAATGTCAAATCCACTTGTAGCGGCTGAGAGTTGCGTAGACAGGCATCTTTATTGACACTCTCTTCCATCCACCATTGCCTACTAGTGTGTAACGAAATAACCTGCTCCTGCCTTTTTTGTTCACATTTATTGTTCACCGGTGATAGCCTTCAGGGAAATGCAATAATCCATAACTCGGTCCCTGAACATCCCCTGAATCAAACATTTCCTCTAGAACGGTGGTAAAGTTTCCTACTTAAATTTGCGTTTGACGCAGAGCAGAAAGGTGAGACCCGATGGACCCACTAGTTTTCTGCACCCAACATAAAACAACCCATATAAGGCTCTTACACCACCCACAGGCTGATCGACCGACCGACCACGCTGGAACCAAGCCGCTAACGTGGCTAAGAAATAGAATTTGCAGGCCAAACTTGTTATGTGCTTTAATTGATCATTGCTTTTTTAAAACAATGTTATAAACTGCCAAAGTAGCTAACATTAGCATCAACCTCTGGGTGGTACTGGGAGTTGCGTGCAGAATAATTCCACAGTTGCATTACTACAATTAGTGCCTCTTTTGCGGATGAAAAAGAAAGAGCTGTGTTGTGGCCGGGCCAATCAGCAGTCTGAAGTACTGCAGCAGTGGGAAGCCTGTGATGTGACTGTCCTTTATTTCGTCCTGTTCCCTGCAGGAGGTGAGTTACTGCCAGGGGATGAGCCAGATCGCCGCCCTGCTGCTGATGTACTTGAACGAGGAAGACGCCTTCTGGGCCCTGTCACAGCTGCTGACCAATCAGAAGCACGGCATGCACGGTGAGACGTCACTGTGAACTGATCTGAATACAAAAATAAAATCTGCCTCTTGCATGTTTTCAAGATGAAGTGCCACTGAGGAAAGGAAATAAATGTCCAAGTCGTTTTCCTCTCAGGGCGGCGTAGCTGATTACAGGCTGCGCCGCTTGTCGAGCGGGATTTGGACTCGTATTAAGCGGGATTAAAAAAAAGTGCCTCCCTTCTCCTCTCTTCCTTTTAAAGGATTTTTTGTTCCCGGGTTCCCCAAACTTCAGAGATTCCAGGCACATCATGATCAGATTATTTCCAAACTCATCCCCAAGCTGAAGAAACATCTGGTGAGCTCACGGTCTCACAAGTGCTTCAAAACAGAAATGAGAGCGATGCAACAGCAAGAATTCAGATTTGTGGTGACATTTATGTGATTTGCAGTTTGCAGGCTTGTAGATATTTGCTGATTCTCTCCCTCTCTCTCTCTGCAGGACAGAGAGCAGATGTCTGCGGGGATTTACTGCACTAAATGGTTCCTGCAGTGCTTCATTGACAGGGTGAGGAACACGCTCGATTGATGACTTCCTTCTTCATCCACTTCCGATCTCTCACACAGTATCTCGCCTCCAGTTAATAACGAAGTTACATCACATTTAAAGTAACAGCTGGACTGGAGCCCAGCGCAGCTCGTCAGGCTTCCTTATCTCATCATCTGAAGATAACAATTCTAAACTTACAAGATATTACTTTAATGCTGTGTGTGTGTGTAACAGACAGCTAGGAGAACATTTCTTTCTGCCTGGCAGACTTTTAAATTAAAGTACCTTTTAACTTTTTAGTAGATCTTTTGTAACTTTTAATTAAAGGAAAATCAGATCTTCAAGTGGTTGTATTCCGAGAAAAAACTCAAAATCCCCAAGATTAAAAAGACGGGTATTCTGTGAGATTGTAAAGTCAAACATTTGCAGAAATAGGTTTGTTAGTTGTGGATGAATTGAACACAGACGCTGACTTCAAGCTAACTTTTTTGGGCTCATCCTCCAGGTCCAACTCGAGCAGTGCAACTTGTAGGCTTTCTCCCTTAATGCTGGGTGTGGACAGTGATTTCGCTCCTCCTCCAGGGCTTCATTTGTTGAATCCAGCACCCCCTTGTGACTATCAAAATATGCCATCCCCACATTTAGGCCTACCGGTAGATGCACTGTGTGCTGTGGTTGAATGCTTTTTAGCATGTGATGACTGAAAGCCCCGCAGCTATGTGGCTGTTTGTGCTGTTAAATGGTGAAATTAGGGAGTTTGTGTGTAGGCGTGGTGCTGCCAATAGTTAGGGGCCCGTGCTATTCCCTAATGTTGCACATGGGCCCCCCTTCTTCATTATAATCCTACAGCAACATGGACCTATAGCTGGTTATACAGTGGGGCTTAGTCTTTGATAATTTCTAAATGTACCACTTTAATCTGGATATGAACTTATATATTACATTTGTTTCTTTAATCTAGAATGACGCTGATACGCCGTCGTACATATGTGTACACTCGTCCTACAAACAAAGGGGGCTGGTGATGACAAATAAACACATTTCCAGTTCTTTTTTTTTTGCTCAAAACAAACCTCAGGGATATATTTACTGGTGTCTTAGCAAATATGACTTTTAAATTCAGTTTGACTTTAAGTCAGAGCTATCCATTTTTGCCTTTTAGTAAATGAATGCTACATTTGCATGTAAATCAGTCAGTTTTGTTCCCGTGTATCTGATACAACATGGCTGTAATTCAGCTAATATCCAGATGGATATGGATGGAAGGATGCTTTTACTGAAAAAGGTAAAATCCAGAAGGAGAAATGTTTTATGTTGCCACTCAGTTAGGATAACAGAAGATTTGTGGAGCTAGTTAATATGCATTAGAAAAGCTCTCTGGCTACAGAAGCTCAAACTTTATCAACACAAACTATCAGATTTCTGGCCAGACTGTTTGACAGGTGATCTCTGGCAGCGAGTTATTTCCAAGAATCACCAGAAACATTTTGTCAGACGGCCTTTTTGAGGATACTTTTACGTGATCTCAGCAGAAAACATCCTGCTGATATTTGAGCTCAGGGACATTGCATTAGAAGAGAGCATTAAGAGCTGTTAAGTTAAACTGCTATTAGTCTCCTTCATGAATGCCCTCAATCCTGTGGTGGTGGTCTGGCACGATTCGGCCCCTGTCAGCGCTTCTCTGTCCCGCTGAGTCGCCGAGCTCAGAGGGGCCCGTGGGCCTCTGCGGTCTGGGAAAGAACCAAACAAACCTCCTGACTCCGACCAGGATGAGAAACCGCCAGCATTAACATATTCAAAAAGCTGGCAGTGACACGGTGACCTCTTGTGTTCCTGCAGACGCCGTTCACGCTTACCCTTCGTCTGTGGGACATTTTCATCCTGGAGGGAGAGAGGCTTCTCACCGCCATGTCTTACACCATCCTGAAGATACACAAGAGTAAGGAGAAGACAAACCGCTCACCACATAAAGATGAATCACTACTCAAGCTTGTTTTTTGTTTTGTTAAACCCCTTTTTAATCTACTGCAGCATTCTAATAATCTGCTGAAATGCAGTTATTTTGGATGATTTTTATCTGTCAGCTAATCTGCAACTGTGGAAAGTCTGGACTTCTAGATGCAGCCGCTAATTATTCAAATGCCGTTTTTAACATTTCTTAAAGGGATAGCGCAACATTGTAATGTGAAATACGCTTTGTGTTGGATTAGAAGATCACTACCACTCTCATGTCTGTATGGTACAAGCTACTTACAGGTTAGCATAGCTTAGCACAAAATAATGACAGTTTGTGGCATTATGGGCCGTTTTATGCTTTTAGATTTTTGTGAAAGAACCACATATTTCCTAACTTAGTTGAATTTACTTTCTCAAGACCTTTCTTTAAAGAAAGGTACAGTTAGAAATAGCTTTAGGGACTGGACACTTACCAATACTCTGGACCACTGACACCTTTCAGTCCGTACAAAAGGGATTTAGGGTCGATGTTCTGCCTTGGCAAATTCAACTACTTCAAACACACCATCTGACAATCAGTACTTAAAGAAGAGATCACTTATAGTACACGGGACAGATTGTTTGGGTGGGTTTGACATGTCATTCTTGTGTGTGTGCAGAGCGTCTGTTGAAGATGTCTCTGGAGGAGCTCAGAGAGTTCCTGCAGGAGCGGATCGCTCAGACTTTCTTCTACAGCGACGACGTGATCGTCGAGCAGCTTCAGGCGTCCATGACTGAACTGAGGAAGATGAAGCTGGACCTTCCTCCTCCAGGTACACAGCTGCCACCGAAAGTCTGACGTACCTGGGTTTGTCCTGTTTAGCATCGCCAGCACCTCGGGATGCACGGAGGGACAACGTATTTATTTAAGAACAATCCTAAGACGTGACTACAATCAGTTTGTGCAGCTCGATCTACGGCCACAGCTTTGTAATGTCAAGAATATATGTTTCAGTTCTTTAAGCACCTGTTTTGTTCTCAGGGAAGCCTGAGGAATTACCCCGCCAGCCTCTGGGTCAGGAGCTGCCGGTGCTGTTGAGTCCAGTCCAGGCCTCCAGAGGGAAGCCGTCCTCCACCAGCGGGTTCCCCAAAGCAGGCCTGAGCCTCCGCATCATCTCCCACCAGCCTGACTCTATATCCCCGGACCAGAGCCCCTCCAAGGACCCCAGGGATCTTGATGCTGTGGAAGAGGAGGCCCCGCTGCCTTCTCCAGACCCAATCATCATCCACAGCCAGGCCCCGCTCACCCCCGACAGCTCTCCGCTGATGGGACCGCCGCCTTACCAGCCCCCTGGGAGTCGAGCAGTAGTCATAGTGGATCATCCACCTCCAGATCAGGCGAGGGATGAAATGCAACCACAGGTGGCAGATGAACTCTCGCCGGCCCCCACAGATGACTCCTCTGTCACCACCGACATCTCCTCCTGCAAGGCCCCGCGGACTCTTTTGGCTCATGTAGCCCAGGTGGCCTCGCCGGCTTCTGGCCTGGCTCAGTCTGAGAGTCGGTCAGCAGAAGAGAGGGCTGAGGACATTTACCTCCACCAGCTGCTGGAGCAAGCCTCAGCTCTGTCCACCAAAAGGAACCTGCGCCAGGTCTCCAGTGAAGGATCGGAGGAAACACAGGCTCCGGACATTTCATGAGACGACCACCAATTTATTGGATAATGTGTCCGTGGCATGACTTGACTCTGCCTTCTTCACCTATTGGGTACATTAAAGGTTCTGTAAAGGTCAAATGTAGGCGGTTAAAACTGTTTGGTGGACGAGGTTACCGTTAAAGTTTAGGTGAAGAACAACAGAAGTAGGATTTATCAGTCAGATTATCAATGTCAAGCAAAAGACCAGTATTAATTTCTAGTATTAATCTAATTTGTTACCAAGTCACTAACTCACTTTCTAAAAAGTTCTGACTTGAGAATCAAATTTCCTCCTTTGGTCATCACATATGAAGTTGTAGAGGTCAGAGGCAGGAGGACTCGGTGTTTGGTCCTGAACAGCAGGGTCTGTTTTCAGAGTCACTCTTGGGAAGGACTAAAACCAGTGCTACCTCTGAGGTACACTTACTTAGGGAATAGTTTGTATGTGTAGGCTTTATTTGTAAAGACTAATGGTGTGTCTGCAAAAATGTGAAGCAAAAATTGCAAATATACATACACTAAAATCTTATAATGATACTTAATAATACCTGAGTACACAATGGCAAGCCACTCGCAAGAGCCCAACCACTTTGGTTTATAATACCCATAACAGTGCTCCATATTGCCCATATTGTGCAGAATTTTGCACGCTATAATACCCGTGTTCATGCACAGCAGGTGTGCTTTGCATCCCACACAAGTCACAAAAGTGACTCCTGTGTTTTAATGTGCTCATCGTCACTGTGCATTCACAGATGATAGCTCCTCACACAGGATGCCTGAATGCCGTGTTAGCATGCCCGCTAACAGGTGAAAGGCCTCTGGAGCTGTCCTAAAAAGCAGCAGAGATAGAGACGGATTTCCTACAGTGTGACGCCTGATAAATGTGGACCCAGTTTGTCTAATGTGGCTCTGGAGCTGTGTCGTGCTGATGTTGTGACAGTTATCTGAACTTAGGCCGTCTGAGGTGTGAAAGATGCAGAATAAATGAACCTGCATCATGACCTTCCCCTCCTCCTGTGTGTTTCTAAAGATTTCACAGTTTAATCTGTAAACACACTTCTCCCGCTCTTCATGCACAGGGCATGTTATTTGCATGTCAAGAAATTGTGCTAATTTCCCAGAATTTGAGGGGCCTGGCTCTCACAGGAGACTGACTGACTGACTGTTAATACACCTTACCAGACTCTGGAGCATTCGGGACCACATCCACACCGTTTCCTGTCATTTTGATGGAGTTTTATTGCAGAGAGAAGGAATCAGAAAGCGTGCAGAAGTCTCCGAGGCGCCACCCTTTACGAGAAAATAAAATGTTTTTGTAGTTTTGTAACGCTTCACCAGAGAACAAAATCGTGCTCCGTCAGCCTTTGTAAAATGTTTGCTAGCAGAGTTACAGTTTTATTTTTTGTACGAATGTCTTGATGCCTTATTTGGATCAGCTTCAGTTCTTCTGTGGACGTTGTTGATGTTGAACTCTGCACAACAACAACAAAGGAAGTGAGCTTACTTGACACGAGGACAAACTTTCAGGTGTTGACATGGTGAGCTGGCTCACTGTTATGATTGTACACATTGACACATATTGAGCTCATTTTAAATAACTGGTTTTCTAGCTCAGTAATTTATTGTTTTATCCTCTGAAGAAAAGGCATCCAGGTCAATTTACCGCTCTTGTGCTCATCCTTTTCATGAACTGGAATATGTGCTGCGTTTTCCACTGAGCTCTTTGAACGGTGAAAACCAGCTTTGTTATTTAACCTTACAGAAGATCTGGATTTAGGTGTGTCAGATTTTGTTTGCATTGTGCTTAGAAATGTACAGTATTGTAGAACCAGTAGGTAAGAAGAAAACCCCATTTCTTCAGCTCTGTGCTTAGAAATAGTAAAAGGCTGACACCTTGTGGTTGCTTTAGATTAAGCATGTCTGTATCTAGATCTAGCCCAGAGGAGTAGAAAGACTTTTGAACATTTAGAATTCATCCAAATGACGACAAATCAGATTAGAGATATTTAAAGTCTTGCAATTGAATGGCATTATTTTGAATTATGTTAATAAGTTCAGGATTTTTCTGACATTTGACTGTATTCCAATGCTAAAACTCCAGCTAATCTAAACATGGTTTGAATAATTGTGTATCAAAGTCCGCCACAGTTGAACTGGTAGTTTTCTTCAGTGTCTGTAAAGGAGATGAAGTTAAAGTATGACGTTGTTAGAGTGTCGAGGTAAAACAAAAGTGTTTTAATTCTTGGCTACAGATTTGATGTACATTGTAATATACAGCACTTTTTGTTAGCAGTTTGAAGATGTTGATGAAACCATGGAGCTAAAACAATATAACTTTTATCTTCCTTGATTTTCTGTGTGTTTCCTCTTGTCTGGCGGGTGTCTTGTTTTCTCTCAGAATGAAGGAGCGGGTGAGTTTACATAAATACGGTTTGCATTTTCAAACAGCATGTTGATAATTCACAATGGCATAGGACCTATAAATGGTAGATGTGAGCAGTCTCTAAAACGGTGAGAAAACCCAGGGATTTGGGTGGTTTCTTTTTAAATAAAATTGGAGAAATGTAGTTTATGGAGGAGGATAGTTCAACATTTTTGGACATAACCGATGCTTGTTAGCTTTCTTGAGGAGAGTGAGATGATGATCCATTCAAAAACAGGAGGGTTTCCTCTTTTCGCTATGCTGAGGCAGCATAACAGACAAACATGACACTGCATCAATCTGTACATAGAAAGATATTAATGGAATCATTGCATTGTGACGTGACATTGAATTTAACAAGCTTTAAATTATACAAGATTCATTAAATGAAAAACAAGCACATGAGCCCAAAAAGCTTTTACACTACATTTAGCTGACGCTTTTATCCAAAGCGACTTACAGCTGCTATACATGTCAGAGGTCGCACGCCTCTGGAGCAACGAGGGGTTAAGTGTCTTGCTCAGGGACACATTGGTAGATGGGTCACAGTGGGGAATTGAACCCCGGGTCTCTCACACCAAAAGCAAGCATCTTATCCATTGCGCCATCACCACCACTTTTAAATGCCTAGTTTCTTTTGTTTGGTACAATGAACCTTCACGTTTGGAAAACGAGAAATATGAAACGGGCTACAACGTTTCTGGTGTGCTTTTATTTTGATAATCATAACCAGAAGTCTCATTTGTCCGTCTTGAAGCTGCAGCTCTGGTTTAATCACCAATGTGGCCACAGGGGGGCGCTGTAGGGCAGTAGGAACCTCACCTGTGTTTTACAGGATTGTGGATTTGATTGGTCCATGTGCGTAAAAACACTTTTCATCCACCCCTCATATTTTGGTTAGTTGTGGCCCAGCTGGACAGTCTCGTGCAGCTGTCTGTTCTTGCCTCTTTGGCTTTTGAGATTTACACTTTCAGACTGTCTGGGACTGAAAGTTGGATTGTATGGGAAGCGTGTGGTCTGTTCTCCACTGTGCGTAAAGTGAGCGTTAATTAAACTCTACACCATGTGCAGCAGTCTGTTGGTTAAAACCATGGAGGACCTGAGCCTTGATCCGGGTTATGTGACCGGGGACCCCTGCCCGTCCCTCAGCCTGTCCTCTTCAGGTAGGTCGAGGGAGTCTCAGGCGCACACGAGCACTCCTCACCGGGGTACCTGGTGTCAGCACGCCGGCTCCCTGTACAGCAGGAACGGCAGCTGGGACACGGTGAGCACGCTGCCGGAGGACGCAGCTGAGATCCTGGCCAAGTGCCCCTGTCTGCCGGAGCTGGAGGAGTATCCCTGGACCGAGCAGGAGTTTCGGGAAGTCGTGGGTCGAATCGCAGATTCGGATGCTCCCTTCACCGGAGAGGCGGTCCACCGCCTGTCCGTTCTACTCCGGAGGGCTTTGGTGCGGATCTCCCGGGAGGCGCAGCGGCTGAGTGAGCTCCACAGGCGGTGCACACGTCTGGAGATCCAGAGCGCGGTTAGACTTGTGCTGGGCTGGGGTCCGGCCGAGAAGTGCATCTCCTCCGCGGTGAAGGCCGTGTCCCTGCACTGCATGAGCTCCGGGGACGCCGCGCGTCAGCGGAGCAAGTCTGCGCGCTGCGGGCTGACGCTCTCCGTGGGTCGCTTCTTCAGGTGGATGGTGGAAACGCGCGTCTCGGTGCGCGTGCACGAGTACGCCGCCGTCTGCCTGGCAGCCTGCGTGGAGAGTTTGACAGAAGAGGTAGCCGGACGGGCGCTGCAGGCAGCAAAGCTGGCCGAGGAGGAGAAGCAGGGCGGCGGGGTCACCTGCTGGCCGGTGACCGCGGAGCTGCTGGAGGGAGCCATTAACAACGACGCGGAGCTGTGGGGGCTGCTGCAGGTCTACGAGCATCTGATATGTGGCAAAAATGCCAATGGTGAGTTCAAGTACAGCACGACACAATATCTGTTTACCTCATAAAATAATTTTACAGTTGGCCAAAGGTTATGGCTAAAACATTAAAGAAACAAAACGACAACAGGATTCCACCTGCAGTAAATGAACAAGTTGTCAAACTGACATAAAACATTCTGTTTCTTGAGCATGTGAAGATTTGCTCATATCTCAGTTTTTTATTTAATTTTAAATTGAATATCGGACAACAACAAGGTACTACATTTCAGAAGCCTATTGTATGACTCTCACGTTGGGTTTTTGAACTGTTGATCACCCAAAACACAATTTTCTTTTATACATGAATCAATCATCAGAAAAAGACCTGCTAATAAATAAGAATAATAAAGTTAGCTGCAACCCTAATTATTATTTTTAAAACTTATTTTGTTAAATCCTAAATCTAGATTGTTCCTCTTGTCCCTGGATCTTCCCTCTCTCATAACTGATGGTACTCAGAAAGATGATGCAGCCTTTCTTTCATCATTTTTTCTAAAACTCTGAAATATGAAACTATTTTTTTAACTCATATTCAGACAGGCCATGCACTAAGACAGTGTAAAAACACACCAGTAACTACAGCTCCCATAAGGCAATGGGATATATCTTTTATAGGTTGAGCCCGCTCTGGAGGAAAAACCCTGCTTCCCACTCAGTCCTATGTTAAAGCTGGGTGGTAACAGAGCTAAATGGTGGCATGAAATTGTTCAGATAGTACTCTAGATAAGAGTAATAGATAATTACTAGCAGTTCAAGACGTCTACCAACACCGTGGAGAGTTTGATGGGAACACCCCTCAGACAGGAAACAGCGTTTTGGGTAGTAACGGACACAGTAGTGAAAGATCCCATCCGATAAACGTCTGCGGTCAGATGCTCACTGGGATATTTTGGTGTGTGTGTTCTGATGAGTTTAAGCAGAGACATGGTTCACACGAACAGACATTCTGCTCTGAGTAACACGCTTCTTCACCGCTTGTATGTACAAATAACTACAGCTAACGTTTGCCAGACAGTTATCATCTCCTTGGACAGGTCGCCAGTCTGTCACAGAGCTGATACACAGAGACAGAAACACCCACAACTAGGGGGAAAGTTATAGAGTCAACCTAACCTGAATGTCTTTGGACTGTGGGAGGAAACCGGAGCCCCCGGGGGAAACCCCCACGCGCACATGTGGAGAACGTGCCAACTCCACACTGCCAAGGGCCTTCTTGGTGACAGGCGGGGATTAAAAAAGAAATACAATAAATACAAATAATATTGTTAAACAACAACAACAACATTTTAGCATTGGAGACCCATAAAACAACAAACACATGATTCATTTAGTTTAAACACTTACTAATACCTGCCTCGGAGTTTGAAACTATTAATTATCACCTATTATGTCAAACAAGTAGCCATATGGCAGCGAGCAGACGGCTGCTGTGCAGAGTAACGCCTCATTGAGATCATATTAATGACTTGTTCTGGTAATTAGCAGAGCGCTGAGGAAGACTTGGTTTGGATTAGATGGCGTGTTTCCTCAGAGCCCAGGAGGGAGACACCCACACCAACTCTTCTCACGAACGTCCGGCTGTCTAACAAACCCTGCCAATAACGAGGTGTCACCCATAATGTCAGGAGTACTTCGCTCTGCAAATTAGCTTGAGACACAACATCATTTATGGTTTGAGGTGACTGAGGCATGGTTGGCAAAACATGAAAGCAAATTTAGACAGGAAGTAGGGTTTCATCTGCTGCAATGTTTTTAGGAAATGTGCTTGCTTGTAGATGAACCCAGAGTCAGATGAAACTAATCTCCAGTTTCTCATCTGTGTCCAACATACATCCATGATGTGTTCATGTTCTGTTGAACAGTGTACATCAAATAGCACAAGGAAAACGGCAGATTTACAAAGCTAATCTTGTCTCAAAGGTCAGAGCAGTAAGGCTTTTTTAGAAATGAATTATTTCTACTTTTTTTAAATTTACTTTTTAACTTTATATTTTCAAACCAACATGGACATAAAGGAAATTTGAACATTTACACAACAGGCACACAGTTTGCTGAGAAGACTGTGATTGAAGCAGCTCCAGGACCGCTAAATGGACCTTGATTGTTTGGTCATATGTCAGAGATAATGTTGAGTATTTTCAAATCCATCTATAGATGAATAAGCAGGAACCACCGGGACATGAATGAATGAATGAATGAAAGTAAATCAGATTCAACTTTCAACAAAATTCTGATGCAGCCCCAGTGAAAAGCACGTCAGTGACTGTTCGGACTCGGACTCTACTGTGAGCACAGTAAACACGAAGGCACCATGAGTCTCTGCCTCTGTGCCCACTGCATGCTGGGATATAGGCTTCAAACCCCTCTCCCATGAGAGCGAACAGGAAGACGCAGGTGAAGTAAATGAGTGAGTGTTGTTAGCCTCTGACCCGCACCGACGACGCCACAAAGGAGCTCTGATTCCCGCTCGGGCTGCAGGGCACGAGGTTCACAGCTCCAAACAAACAGCCGCTGTAGCTGCTGCTGTCCAGGCAGGAGAGGCACAAAAGAAACGCCACATCATTCAGGTTTTAATCAGGACGTTGTTTGTGGGCCAAACTGTTCTGCCTGATCTGATGCTAAAAGTAAATCCCAGCAGTGAAATGTGAGAAAATGCTCCGTTTAGCAGAGATCCTGCTGAGAGGGTCGAGTAACCCAGCTTGTAATGTCATTATCGTCCTAAGATCGCCATCTGAAAGCAGATTTAAATTGCCGCTGCACGCAGTCCTGTCTGCAAAGATTAAATCATTCAGTTTCTTTTCATTGACCTTTTCTGCAGATTTGGATGTTTTTGTCTGACCAACGGTTCAAAACCCAAAGATATTAAAGTTACAATTATATAGAATCTTTATCAGGATCCCTTTTCTGTTAATTGAGTAATTGGTCCTATCGTGCATTTTAGTCTGGTTTAGTTTGTGCTAACTCAAAAGCT